ACTCCCTTCTCACTGCTCCATTCCCTGCCCCTGCATCTTTTCCAACTTGTTAATATCTTTACAAAAATGTGGTACTTAGATTTAGACACAATATTCTAGTTACATGACCAGAGTAGAATTGCAATAGGACTATTTCTTCCTCCATTCTGAATATTGCTGGTTTTAGCCACAATACTTCAGTGTCTCACTCCTAACATAAGTTGGAACTTATTTTTAACCAGAGTTTTGTATCATTTATTTTTGAATCCCTCATTTTGCATATTACTTTAATTCAACAAAGCACTAATTTAGTAGCCTTCCTCAGGAGCCCTCAAACCTCAGCCATTACCTCACCACCTTTATTAATTAGATCCACAGGACTAATATGAAGAAGACTTTAAAACTTCATTCCCTAATATTAATATCTGTATAATAACATGTCACTATTAACAGTGTTAAAAAAACAGTCTTACGATATACTATGTTATTCTTACTATTTTGCCGCTAAAATATAGCACAAAAGGGGTTTGTGTTTTTATGGAATATTAGTATTAAATCAATACATACATATATTGCATACAATCGATACATACATACATTGATACATGCAAACCATTTGGTTTGCTCTTGGTAGTGTTACTTAAGCATAAGAACCTGCCACTTCTTCACATTAATACCAAAATAATTTTCATGAAAATTCTGTTAATTAGACTACAAGTTGAAAAGGCATTAGTCAAGTTTCTCATCTTTTACTTATGGCTTATTGGCTGTCCTGCCCCACTTTCTAACTACTAGTTAGCTACACTTAGCAATCTCCATTAATTTCATTTGGCATTTCATTCAATCATATAGACCATGAACATGATGATATTTAGAAGAAAAAAAAAACATTAAAAGCCCGTGGTGCTCATTCTTAATTGATGTCCTTATCGGACATTGTATTTGCCAGAGCTGTCGTTATTGATCAAGCAGAAAAATCAAATCTACTGAACTACAATGGAAAATGTTCTATGGAATTATTGAGATGCTTTTGTTGGGGTGTTCAGATTTATTTAGTTTAGTTTTATAATGAAGTCCTTGGGGATAATATATTTGGGGAATTGGTCTGTTGGGTCATATCAAAGTGAAAAGAATAGGTGACTACAGATGTGTGCCTTTAAAAAAGTATCAGAATCATTCACTTATTCCTTCATTTAGTAAACAATAAGTGCATAGTATGTAAAAAGTGCTGTGCTAGGTGCTAGAGGAGATACATTTTTTTTTTTGCTAAAAAAATATTCATTGCCTTCATTGGGCTTCTCAGTCTAATGAGGATCAAACAAACGACTGTAGCAAGTAATGTTACATAAATGAATTCAAGGGTTCCAAAACAATGTGTCATGCAAATTCTAAGGAAGGTTATTATCAGGGAATGCTTCTGGAGGAGGTGACATTTTAAATTGAACTAGTAGTTATTAGGTAAAGATAGGGAAAGAGAGTCTTTTAGGAAATGGAAATAGCTTGAACATAAAGGTGGGTAAGTGTTGAGGTAACAGAGAGACCAATTTAATTGGAAAATAATATAAGTGAAAGGAAGTAATAAAAGATCAGCCTGAAAAGTCAGAGTACCTTATTGTGGCAGAAATGTTTGAATTTTACTTGGGGGACAATAGGGAGCTACTGAAGATTTATGAGTGGAGGACTGCAGTACAAGAATTGATCTGTTTGTACAAAGGTTGGCTTTTTCGTGTTATTAAAAGTGATATGGAAGATGGTATTAAAATTCATTTAATATATCTGTACTGTAATGAAATTTGCATTCCTCTTATAGTTGGGAACATTCTGCTTTACTTGATGTTAATCTACTTTTTACTTGGAATAGTACTTTTTGACTTTTAAAGTTATATGAGAAAACTTAAGAGAGGTTGACCAGTGGATCTCAGAAGGAATATTTTGTGAAGGTTACTACCTAGAAAGTCTGGAAATAGGCTCCATTAAGATGGTTTGAAATTGACAGCTTACAGTTTTTCCATGTATTTCATTCAGAAAGCTCATAAATTTTACATCTACAAAAAATAGCAATGCCAGCCACCTCTTCATAAATCTAATTTGAAGCAACCTTTGGGTTAGCTTTTCATAAGAAGGGTTTCAGGAGAGTTAAAGAAGATTGGCAGGAAAGGGCTTAGTGTTATGGCCAAAAATATTTAAATAAATTTTACAGCGATTTAAAATTGAACTAAGTGTGTGAGAAGTGAATTTTTCATGTTTGTGGATATTAAAAGATAAATAATAAATTATATAATGAATTATTGGATGTTAGGACACATTTCTTCACTAGGAGACATTGAAGTTAAGTTTGATATTTGTAATATAATATATTCAGAGATTTTACTATCCATCAGAAATTAAAAATACATGATGCAGCTAAAATATATTGTTAATTGTGATAGTTTTTCCCCCAAAGGATCCATTTTTCTCCTTGAATGGATGCATGGTGTTTAGTTTTGTTTTGTTTTTCAGAAACAAGTGGGATAGAATTCATAGATAACATTTCAAAATGACAACTAAATGAAATAAGTAAAATCAATGACCACATGCATAGACACATTTACATAACATATTGCCCTTATTAATTGGACCTCAGGACTAAAATTCATGGCTCAGACAAAGGTAGAACAAAATAGGCCCCATTAAGTATAGGAAAGGATATTGACTGCAACGAGTTACTTTGCACAAACCATTTGAAGCATCTATTCTAAATTAAATATTTTACTAAAATAGACTAGAAACTAGACTTCTATTTAGAATGATTTATAACTGTTCCCGGCTGATCACAAAGTGTTTCTAAATTAAAAGCCATTAATTATAGCTTTATATAGATACAAAAGATATGCAAGAAGTGCTTTGTAATTCAAGCCAGCACTTCAGGTGAGAGCTTTTTAAATTACTTGGACCATTGGAGCCACCTGCTTGACTAAATGGTGAGGGCCCCATGTTTCAGGACTCATCAGTGCATTGCAGTGTTAACATTGTTACTGATTTTTCTCATTTCTCCAGGGCAAATACTAATTAATGGATACAATTCACAGCTGATTAGCTGTAGTTTCTTCAGTAATTACATTCGCATACTAACTGTTCAGAAGAGGATTTCTAACCCAGTTCTTATTTCACTCTAAGCTTAATTTGTTTTTTGAATTGTTTAGGTCCTTAGGATAATAGCCATTTTATTTTCCTTTGTTGTTGTAGGTAGTACTAGATAATAAGTGAATTTAATCTTAAAAATGCTCTTTGATAATGAGCTGTTTGCCTTAAATGGATTTCTAATTCACAGACAAAACCTACATTTAAATAACGTTAAAGTTGTGTTAAAGGCTGAGGAAAGCCTAGTTACTATTGGGAACTGACATGAGAACTTCACATATAATATACACTTGAAGCTGCAATTTTCATACATAGGAAAAAGTAAAGTTAAGAATGAAGTAATTTTGTTCCACTAAGATTATTGATTCATAAAAATTTGATGACTTACAATCATGTTTCCTCGATTTTCCTAAAGCTGTGCAAAAGTTAAAAATATATCTGATGTTTCATCCATCAGAGAAACTATTTAAATCTCTTTTTAACCTTAATAAATATGTACTTTCACATTTCCTTAATGATTTTATCCAAGTTCATTTGGGTACTCGGTGCTCTGTCAGGGTCATTTAGGTCTATTGTGTAAGGGTGTATTAAGGTGTCTTTTTAAGGAGTGGATTTTTGCCTCTCTAGACCATAACAACTCCTCTGGAACCATTAGAGTCTTTCATGTAAATCCTACTGAGTTCTTGATCATTGACACGATAAAGTGTATCATGTCAATCCAGCTTCTGTGCTTGAATTCTACTATACATTTAAGACAAGGGACTAAGAAATCCCCCTTTAATGTTTTTTGGCATATTGGAAGTTAGGTTTTACTGTGAATAATTTGGGGCTTTTAAATTACTAGGTAAGTTATAGTTTTTATTTAAAAGTAAATACTATTTTTTATAAGGAGGGATGCATATATTTCATCAGTTGAAGGCCAAAGCTATTTTTGACTTTGAGGCCATGAAAGGACAGGCAGATTATTTTTTAAAGCACTTAGTACATTTTTTTTCCTATGTTTTTGTTTTTCACAATTACCATCTCATGTAATATCAGAATATGTAAAATAACTAAAATCTTTATTGTCTCCTTAGGATTTGGAAGCATTTCTACTCAAATGCAAGTTTTACATTTTGAGAGCAAACGCATAGAAATAAAGAGCTGATGATTGAAATGCTAACTGTGGTCTTATTTAGGGTAGTTTGAATGAGCTGCTATGACAGTGAATAAAAAATTAATGCTGTGTTCACAGATTTCAGCTTGTTCTTTTAAACTCTTGCCCATAATGCTGTGTTGGGGGATTAAATATTAAGGTTTTCAACAGTTCTCATGGATATTGATACAGGTTTAAGTATTGCATTGGGATGTTTTCTGATTCTGTCAGGCTTCTTATTTATTTCAATTCATGCCATACCTCATTCATTGGAAAATAGAATCTGAGTACTGGGAATGAAATTTTATTTTCTTTAATTCATATTTTTGCCCTCATACTGGTGACATCTGTTCCTAAAAAGTAAGCTGTGAAATCCCAACATATATTAGAAATGTGTCATGGTAGTGAACTTGGAATTTCTTTTCTTTCTCGCATTTGACAAATGCCATTTCAGTAAACAATGTACACTGGTGACCAATTAGCCAAATGTTTGTAATAGCTTCCATTCACTACTAGTCTCTGAGCAAGACTAAATGATTGTTGAATGCATTTCAGTCAGGTAAACTCCATACTTCAGTCTCTGTGGGAACTAACCAAAAATTTAGTGCTTTGAAATCTCATTAATATTTCACATTTGGTCACAGTAAAGCACGGTTTTATATAATAATACCAATGCATTTTCCAAAATAACACCTGAACATTCAGCAAATAACCACAACTGTATAGTACGTGGCATACTAACATGAGAAATTTATTTTTCTTTTAGTTTGGAAACAATAACAACTATATGAATATGGCTGAAGCAAATAATGCCTTCCTTGCTGCCAGTGAGGTAGGTCTTTAAAAAATACTCTTTATATTTTGTTGTTTGCTTATGTATTTTAATAAAACTGGAATTGCAATGAGTATTAAATATGGGAAATGGGAAGTAGAGAACAGAATGACCATAATAAGAATTAAAATACCCTGACTCATTTCTTTTAGGCAATCACAAGTCTGTTCTCTCATCACATGCCAAGAAAGGGTTAAAAAAAGTGAAAAACCCTGAGTGATGAAAACAACAAAAACACAACAAATACAACTATACCTGAACAGGTGCACATCTTGAAAACCACATTAGACTTTCAATATATTATGAGTTTTATTTGTACAGATTATTTAATTTTGGTTAAAATGGCCTGGGAAACTATGGAGAGAAATCCCCCTGGGTTTATAGCTGCTTGTAGGGGATGATTTGGGTAGGTGATAGTATGAGTAGAGCCACTTAAGTTTGCTCTGAGAACTGGGCTCAAGAGTAAGCCCTGAGAAGGAATTGCTGAAGCCCAGTTGTACCAGTGATGACAATGTAAATGGACTTCAGTTTAATAGGGGGTGTAGGTACAGTGAACTATGTTCTTATTTCCCATCTCTCCACCCATCTTCCTACCAGCATATACACACAGATACACACACATATGCATGTACACATATACAGATATATCTGTATATATACAGGCACATACGTGTGTGTGTGTGTGTGTGTGTGTGTGTATTTTGTAGAGTCACACTCTTTAGGAAAGCTTTGTTTGAGCCATTCCAAAAGTATTTGATCCCTTGAAATGGGAGAGAAGTACAAAAAAAAAGGAAAGGTTAGAATGTGTTGGAGTTTTCATTTTAAAACAGGGCAAAATGAAAGTTAAATGGTTCCAAATGGAATGTTTCCTCTTGTGATTTGTGTAATAGAAAGTTTTCATCTTCCAAATATATTCAAAGATAGGAGACTGAAGAAGCTTGACCCTGGAGATTGAAAGTACTAATGGTTTCATAAATGATATTGGTATAGTGAAGTGAATGATATAGAAGAAATTAACTTGGAGAATATGTTATAATAAATTTGAAATAGAATTAAGAGCCAGTGTAAATTAATCATTTTTCACAATGACCACCATCTCTGTATCCAAGAAGACTGCTTAGATAAGGGAATATTGTTTGGCATGAGCTTCAGTGTTGTTTGTAATAATGAACACCAACCCCATCTGTAAGGACAACATGATGTTTCATTCTGTAGAATTTTTTCCCTACATTTGAATCAAACATTGATGAAAGCTCTGTTGCCAGCAGCTGTTCAGAGACAATTTAATTCCAGCTGTGATAATTCACCGTGTCAGACATTGGCTGTTATATGTTGATACAACAGTTCTCCAGATTTGCATTTTTATCAAAAGGAACAAATGTTTTGAACCTTTCAGTACAGATGGCATTTAACCATATACCTACTACTCTAACATGTACATGATAAATATTGAAAAATTAATAACTTTTTAAAAAGTGACATCAACCCTCTCCAGTTTAATCTGAAGAGGACCACTGTAGTCTTTTATTCAAAACCAAAAGATGTTTTGCTGATGATTCATTGCATTCCTCATTATGCCTCATTATTTTATTTTATAATTTCACTTAATTCAGTGACTTATATTATTGATTTTTCTAAGGTTAAATATAATCTAACTCAATTATAGATGTCAGTGTCATTGATATTTTGTAAATTCTAAATTATAATTTGTGATGTTTTTCATGTGTCAAAGGTTTTATTCTTTCTTATTAGGTTATTAAAATAAATTATGTATATTTTTTAAAAAGCAGTATAATTTTAGAAGACACTGTATTACCTTTTACAGCTGTACCAGATTTCTTTAAAAAAAATTTAGAACATTATGACTATCTTACACAATAAATGTTATAGGAAAAACAACAACAACAACAAACCAAGAGCTGGCTTTCAATAGTGATCTCACTGCTTATCTTTTATTGAACCAAAAAAAAAAGTGACGCAACTAAATGTTAATGCACTGCATTATGTAGCATGTGCCTAATTTTGCAATTACTGCATTAGAAGTGTATTATTTCGTTTTAGCATTTTAATGAGTGCCAGCTAATTCATTAAGACTTTAGGTTTGGATGTTATAAAGTGTAAATTGTGATGCTTGAAACCAATTTCATTCTGATAGAAAATACCCTGTAGATAACAGCACTATAAGCATTAGAATACTTTGTAGTTTGAATTTTGCACATTTGCTTTTTGTTTTGTGTCTATGTCATGATTATCCTGACTATTTTTAAAGCATCTTAAATATTTATTGAAATAATATTTCAAGTGTTAATTACAGTGGTAATGAAAACAGCCAAATGCCACATATCAAGAATGAGTGTTTATCCGTATTGTTAATGTGATATGTTAGATTTCATTAAGCAGTAATGGGGTAGCAAATGAGTCACAAATTACAGTTGCATCTGTTACTAGACCACATTAGTGCCAAAATAACTGCAAATGCAGCCATAGGGTTATGTTCATTAGCCAACCACTTTTGTGGCCAATCCATCCTTTTGTGTTTGTGAACTCAGGGTACCACAGTGAGAAAATTTACATCCTTGTTTGTTTGTTAGAATGAGGAAGAAAGAAAAACAAATCTTTAATATTGTTCCAGATTTCAGATGTAGAATTAAACTCCATTGTTTTGCATCTATGGAGCCTAAGGAGTGTCAGATTGCCCTGCTGCAGTTTCTAGTAGTTTGGGACCTCATCATTTCTGGTGTGAGACCAATAATGACAGCTGAAAGGTTCTATATGAAAGAAAAGGGTTTTTTCCCCCTGTTTGTTTCTATATCCTCTCAAATGGTTATTAATTTATATCATCATTAATGGTTTGAAGGATGACAATTTTCAACAACTAATGAGATCTTTTACTTTTCATAACAGATTCAAATTAACTTTCATGGACTCACTCTTTCAGTTAATGTAAATGACAAAAAATAACTGAATTTGAGGTAGTAATAAGCAATAACCATAAAAAAAAATGACCTCTAGTTTTTTTTTTTAAGTTCCACTTCAGGATTTATGATGAATCCAGCTTACAATGGCAGTCTTAATATATGTATCAAATGGGCTCTAATTTTATATTTTTAAAAAAGGAAAATAACATTTCTTCAGAGGCTGAAAAATTTATATAAACAAAATCTCATAGTGCCAAATAAGCAAACAGTATTAGTATAGTTAAAATGTCTTCAAGAAGCTGAAGATAATTGGGAAAAATTATTGTGATCAAAACCTATTGACTAATGTCTGTGTATGTATGCATGTATAATGTTTTACTGTTCAGAACTACCATAAAAACTCACCGAAAGCCCATGATAATCTTTGTGTAAAATTGTTTGCTATCGGCAATGACTGCTTCCATTATACTTAGAGATATATCATCAAAGAAATAAAAATAATAATAATATCACATGACTTATAAGTTGTGCCAGAAAGTAAAGATGTGTAATGTTCAGTGCTAGATTAATGTTGTATGTGCACTACAAAATTGTCAGTATTTTATGAAGCATGAGAATAATGTCAGCTGTTTGTGCTGTTTCACTAACATATCAATAAAGTGGCAATTTGTTATATAGCCAAATCTAATGTAGCTGATGTTCCAACTAACAACAAAGACAGATGTTGCTAATTAAGTACGCATTAAAAAACTGTTAATACTGATACTCCATTAAAACCATATGATAATGAGACTTAAATCTTTAATCAGAATGATCAGCAAAACTTTATGTATGTAAATTTGTGCTTAAGATGTTTTCATTTGAGAAATAAATATTTAGTCAAGATATGAATATGTTTCAGTTCAAAATTATTTCTCTGTCCAGAAGATACATAGACTATTACAATATAAAAGATTTTGGTTTCCTTTCAGCAGACATTCCATACTCCAAGCCTTGGGGATGAAGAATTTGAAATCCCACCAATTACTCCTCCTCCAGAGTCAGATCCTACCTTGGGAATGTCAGATGTACTGTTACCCTTTCAAGGCCTCAGTGATCCACTTCCTGCACAAGGAAATGAATTTACACCTCAGTTTCCTCCTCAAAGCTTGGATCTTCCTTCTATTACAATATCAAGAAATCTCGTGGAACAGGATGGTGTAATCCATGGCAGTGGATTGCATATGGTAGGCACTGCATTTTGAAAAACATAATAGATATTAATATAACATTCTTGTTATAGTGATTGCAAAGTTGTTATATACTCTTTTATGTTTTCCAGAGATTTGGCTAATCATTAGTAGCACTACTTAAACTTAGAAGCTCTGGTTTTCTTACTAGTGACTTCATATTTTACTGTATTTGAATAGGATGAAAAGCTGGTAAAATTGGCATAATTAATAGATGTTTTGGGGACAAATGGTCATGTATTTATTGGAATTCATATATGCTTCTTTAAGAAACTACATTGGTGTGATGGAAAGAAGACTAAATTATGAGTTGAAAGACTTGGATTTTACTTCTTGTAATGCTATTTTCTTACTTGTGGTCATGTGACCTTGGGCATGGCATTTAATTTCTCTGAATATGTTTCCTCATCTGTAAAGTTGGGCTAAACGTATTTGCTTTCAGAGATTGATGTGAGGATCAAATGAGATAAAGTATTTGGAAACTCTTGGAAACTTATATATACCCTGTTCTACCAATAGTGGTGGTGGGTTGGGATAAGGGAGAGGAGGGAGAGGCAATTGCTGTCTTTTGATTTATATGTAGCTGTGCTTGAATAGGTGTTTGCTGCTCAAGTAACTATGGAAAGTGGAGGGACTAAGTTAGCTAGCTAATTTTTCTACGAGAGTCATTTTATACTCTGATATTTAAAGAACCGGGCTTGCCCTTCTTCAAATGGCAGATAGAGCTGTGATAAAGGTAACAAGTGAAAGAGGAAAAGTAATTGCAAACATGCAACTGAGGAAAATTCATTGCCAGTCACTGTGTGAAATTTACCTTATTGTCTTAGGTCTTATCATAGGCATTGAATGAGACACCAGAGAACTGTCTGATTAGTAATGCAGTAATTTTTTGATATATTTTTGTTGGTATGCAATTATGGTTAGTGATCACTGGAGTCAGTCTACTCAGTTTATTAAAGTCTTCAGTTGAAATCCTCCCACCTCCCCCTGCACTAGAATTGTATGTAATGCATTTATGCCAGGTATAGTAGTAAGTAGAAATTGAAAAATCAGATTAATAGCTAGGTAACTTTTTTTGGTAAAATGAAGCAAATGTATTAATTTAACAAAAAACCCAGATCCTATTGCTTGTTTTACTTTTTTTTTTTTTTTTTGGTTTGAAACATCAGGACTATGCCAGTGATACTTATTGGTTTATTGGTTAACTCTGGATAATTCTAGGTGATTGCGAAATTTGTAGTGGATTATTCATGTGTACAGATTCAGTGTGCTTTCTGAAATATGTCTGTTTTCCCCAAAAGAATTGCTGTATCATCATTTCTTTTGAATTATGATCTTTGTAGGCTTGAGTTTAACAGGATGCAGGAAGAAAGAACGTGACTGATAATTGTTAAAGTAGTGATAAAAATTCCTTATGGCAACAAATAATTATCTCCTTTGGATTACTTACATTTTGTTCTCTGACAATGAAATTGAAATTTTTGTTCTTCCTTTCTCATCAACCAGGCTTGCAATGTTGTTCTTGTGGAATAATAAAAACAAAAAGGGTGTTTAGTCACCAAGGGAGTAAGTTGACCACGGTTCACCCGTTATTCAAATGTATACAGTATTGTTCATTTAAATTATGGAAACAGTTAAAGCACTATGTCATTTATGCTAAAAATGTGTACTTTATTAAACTGGTAAATATTTATTAATAATGTAAGAATCTGTCTTTAAATTAAACATCTGATGAATTACCTTGCCTTAGAGCTATAAAACCTTTATTACTGCTATAAAAAAGTGTAAAGGAGGCATTTTGACTATGAAATTTCATTTCATGGTCAATTGAATTTACTATATTGGAAAGAACTAGAGATGGGGCCATAAAATAATTATGATATTCATATACACTTAAAGAACAATGCTTTCATGTCCTGGTATTGGAATAGTACTCAATTTTCAATGCTTCATTGGCAACATATTGCTAATCATGAAAGCACTTGAACTATTTCATTGTTTTTAAAAGTATAGGTTCTTTAGCTAAGTATAGACTATTGTGGCAGTATCAGTATGGACCACATCAAATTTATTGGTCATTTTGAAGCTTTGCTGAACCAGAATGATATTTATTTTAGCTTGAAACAAACTAATCTTGTTGAAAAGTCTAGTAGAATTTCACCTTGAAGAAATGTCTTGGGATTTTAAATCACAAATGTTGGAAAAAATAAAATGTACTTGGACAGAATTATGATGAATACAGTGTGTCATTGGCTTTGTTCTATGTACTACCTGACATGTTCACCTATAAACTTGAATGCAGAATCGCCAGAGGCATGGTTAAAAATAGGTTATGTCAAGGTTCTTCTATATCTCCCTTAGGGTACTGAGTTGGCTAGCTACATCATAATACTCCATAGCAGCCTCCTTGTATATTTCCCCTAGGAAGGCCACCAGTAAAATAATAAATAATGCCTTACATCATGCACTTGATTTCTGAACATGTGATTGGATATTCCATACCATATTTGAGCAATAACTTTATTATCTAAATGAATATGGCTATTAATGTATTGCTATGATGAATTTTTTCTCTTATGAGAAGAAAACAGGCTTATTTATATTGTATTGAACCAGCTTTCCTTCTGTTTTATTGTTTTTCTTTAAAATGAGTGACAGTTTTTCACATTACTTATTAGCTTCATTATTTTTGGCAACAAGCACAGTATGTCTCTCTTTAATGTATGTTATTATATATTTCAAAATGGAAATCAGAAACACTCCTCCTGCCCCCAAAAAAAGAAAGACAAAGAGCTCAGTACTTAGCTTTCACATTGCAAAGTATGCAAATACTGTTCTAATATTAAATAGCTGAGAAATTGAATGATAATGATTATATGACATCAAAGAACAATTTTTAATTTATAGTGCAGATATTTTTATTTTAAAACAAAATTTTGGAGTCAAATTGATAGTAATATTTTGCTTGAAAAATCTTTATCTCTGGCCATTATTGTCACTTTAGATAATCATCTGAAAAATATTTTAATCTATGTAATATTGCAGTTCTATAAAACTACAACTTATGTTTCAGAGATCTCTCTCTCTCTCTCTCTCTCTCTCTCTCTCTCTCTCTCTCTCTCTC